TTTACTATTTGACAAGCTTATGGCGCAAAGGCTCGTAATAAACGTTTTTAACATGAAAACATTTTCATTTCTTTTTAAATACTGTAGATTGGCATAAATCACGATAGTTTTAATTTCGCTATGTTCGCCATTTATCATTTTCCCGCAAAAATTAAACCCATCGTGAAAGTTATTATTAGTTTTCAAAAACGTTTAAATGCCAAAACATAATTTTGAATTTATTTGTGTCAGCGTGAAATTAAAACCATCGAAATTGGTACATTTTGAGATATTGTGAAATTTTAACACTATAACAGTAATCTGAGTTGATGACTCCAAGTTTCATTATAAGAATTTCATTTGAATTTAAGTGAAGACCTGAAGTACAAATATCTCCGACAATGGACTCTGACCCTAGACATCAACTTCAGTAAAAGAAAATTAGGTTAATTATGCTTTATTTCATATAAGATACATGTAACTTTGCTTAAATATATGATTCTCTTTTTGAAAATATTTAAAACATACTTCTTGTTTCATTTCCTATACAACCTCCTTATCTTGATTAATATAATAAAGCTATATAAATAAAAAAAGAAAAGTATCCAGTATTTTACAAGCACACAAAAGGGTACAGTTTGTTTTTATTAATCGACATTATGTTATTCAATGTCTATTTAAGGTCATTTTCATTCATTAGATTAGATAATCTCTTCTGTTTGGTCCTGTTGTAACCGGATGTACTCCAACACGGCTGTATGGATCATTATGTATTCCTCCTGTCAGACATAAAAGAATCACCATCTTTTTATTAAGTTATGCAACCAGACAATTAAATTTTCAAACGCTCTCTGCTCATGCAAATAAAATGTTGCTTTAAAGCTAAATAAATGAACTACTTTCCAAAATACGAGTATACTTAAATGCATAATTTCTGTAAAAAATACAAACAAATATAGCATATTTTGCAGGGAAATAGTACAAAAAAGACATCATTTTGACAACTATACTTTGAAGATATAACATACATTTATATCATTTAGAGTTATCCCCCTCATCAGAGTATCGATGAACCTTTAAAAAGATTATTAAGATTTCTTTCCCATTAAGAAGAAACCTATATAAATAAACCTATATAACTTACCAGAATGGAACATAACTCTGGACGTCTGATCTGTAGCTGTCGTACAGCAGAGAATATGTCCACCTCATCATCTACAGATAACTGCTGTATTACATTGTAAACAGCACAGAATACACCACAGAGGACTGCACTATCGCTGTGATGATAAATATCATATTAGTTTTATACAAATCCAATGCTTATAACTTTGAAAAACAGACAGGAATTCGCGCATAATAGAATTCCAGATTCATGAACAAAAAACAGGAACTTTAATCTCAGAAAAAGTGTTGCAGTTGTAAATGACCAATGAAAACAATAGTAACTTCCAAAAAACTTAAGTATAAAAAATAACCTGCTGACGACAGTTATAGGTCCCTGGGTTTCATTGTCCATTACAAAGGACACAAGCTTTACTAGATGTGATGTCCCATGATCTGTTGACAGCAAACTGAACTTTGGTTCAGAAACAGAAACCGAGTATGCTTCATCACTTTGCTGTAGTTTAAAACCTTATGCTTAACTGCAAATTACCCAATTTATGTTTAAAGGTACCCAGTAACGATGCAGGCTAAAAAGGAATAAAACAGAGGTAAATATTGTTTTTCATACAGAAATATGAGAAACGAAACAATTATGCCTATGTAGTCAGTTTCCAAAATTCTTTAATTTCATAGAATGCATCTTTAAAATACATATCTAATAAATTTAGATCAATCAAAAATTGTTGTTTATATCAAATCCAGAGTAAAGTACACCATTTCCGCTACATGTACTAACCTGGACAAGCGTCTGATCCACAGTCTCTAGGCTCCTGTAACACCTGATTACTACAACAATCTCTAAAGACCCTGTACCTGCGTTGTGTACCATAACCTCCACACGATACATTACAAACTGTCCACTCACTCCAAGGTGATAACGTGTAGTTATTAGCACAGATACCTGAGGCTATCATAACCGATATATGATAAACTTTGAGCATCATACTTTTATTAATATACAATACATTTTGGATTAATCTTCATGTTAATAAGTGGATCCATTGAATTGTACATTTTTAGATTATTTGATGTAACTCTGCAATTCAGTGAGTAAAATGGCCAATAAAAATTTCTATTAAGGTGACTGAATGATTTTTTTCCTATTCGGTTGCGTTTTAGAAAATTTCAAGTCACATTTCACAAAACTTAAAGTCATATTTCAGTAAATATTGAGTCACATCTCAGTTAAATTTAAGTCATATTTCATAAAATTTTCTACCATATTGCGGTGACCTTTTAGACATATTTCCGTAAATTTTTAGTCACATTTCATTAAAATTTAGTCACAGTCAGTTGAGAGTTGGTCTCTTTTTAGTTCACTGAGGTTAATTCTGTAAATTCATGTATTCTTTTTTGCGTTGTATGTATTGTTCTATCAGCGTTTCATAATACATAGATATATTTATTTAAATCTTAGAAAGATACAAATATTATCGATGAGCTCTTGCATTAATATCTTGTAATAGAAAGAATTGTAATTATAATTGGATTAAAATTGGAAACTCTATGCTCCTCCATATGTTCGAGTTTTAAATGGAGGAGCTGATCCGAAAAAGAAATTGAAAAGAATTAGCATTTGTAGATGACATGAAATGAATTTAAACATAACTTACGGCAATAACTTGTCATATAGCGAGAGTCAAAACTTAAATAAATGCAATCGCATCCCTCACCACAACAGTCTCCAGAAACAGTTTCTGTCAACACTGTAATAAAGTAATAAAGTATTTTATACAACTAGTTAACTGAATAAAACATTTGTACATAAAATATTTTGAATATTTCATCTAAGAACTAATTGTTATTTGAATAATTGCCGACAATCATTTACAATTATTTTTCAACTTATATTTAATGAGCTTTTAATCAATTGTGAGTTAAAAATTGATTAAAATATAATGGATAATATCTACCTACCGAAAACTGGAAGAACTTTCATACAAACAAACAGCAGACAATACATATTCAACTTTAAAAGAATTTTGCTGATAGTACGAGATAAGGGATTATGGAACTCTGTTCTTTAATTTGTTCGTTTTAGCTGTTTCTGTGCACATATACATTAGCATCTATACTGTATTTTGATAGGGAGGAGGGGAGGAGCTTTAAAATGTTAAAAAAAAAAATCATTTAATATTTTAAATCAAATTTTAGCTATTAACAATATACCAAATTTACATTGTAGCTGCAGATGTGTAGTTCGTTGATCTTTAATGGATTGACTAGTTTCAAAAACTGCACATTTATTGTATACACAATAAAAGGCGTGGTTTATCGATTTATATTTCGTCGTATATTTAAGAAGATGTCTCAAAATATTATAAAGCATATGTTCAAAATATATTTTTTCATCACTTTCACAAAAGAACATTCCCAAAGGCAGTCATTAATGGCCCTCAAGGACCTAAAATTGAGACAATCAAAAATTTTGCTAGTTTTGCCGTCGTTTCGAGCGTCAGGACAAATTCGGCCCAACGCGGATGTGATTGGTGCATACATTTTTGTTGTGAAAGTAGTAAGAAAACTTGATTAGTAGTAATTTGATATATACGGAGAGACATATCGAGAAACAGTGTTCTTTTTGGTCGCAATGAATATACACTTTTTTTGATAACTTGCATTGTAGCTTCATGGTCGTCCATCCCAACCTTTTTTCAGGTGCCTAATAAGTGTCTTAATTATTGTGCCTTAAAGATTCCCTAAACGTATTAGGTGTCTGACAGACGCGGATCCACAATTTTTTTCCGGGGGGGGGGGGGGTCCACCCCAGTCCCCCAAAAAAAATTTCAACCCAGAAATTTCTTGACAAGCAAATAAAAAAAACGGAAACTCGCCTAAACTTCAAAAACCTATTTCGTCGGGGGGTTGGGGGGGAGCGAGGATAGTCTAGTCAAATGAAATTTAATGCTTCAAATCTTTGACTTTTCATACCATTTTCATACAAATTCGCGTTTACAAGGGGGGTCTGCGATTTCCGAGGGGGTGTAAGTTAACTTTTGACTTGCTTTTATATATAAATTTAATAACCTTGCAAATTCCTGGCCCCCTTCTAGATCCGCGCATGCTGTCTTGACAACAGATACAGGTACTTGGAGCCTAACGCCCTAATGGGTGCTCTAACCATGGAGCCTACAGCCTTAACAGGGTGCCCTTATCATGTTAGGTGTTAGATAGAGAGTATATGAGAGCGAGTTGTAAACTGATATGCATACCTTGGATTTGATTTTCAAAACTGCTCTTAGATACATGTATTGTTAATACACTTGTTAAGACAAAATCTGGTATTGTTTAGTATTAGATCTATAAAGATTTCGAGTTCCTGATTCAAGCACAGGATCCACAATATTTTGTGACGTGGATAAAAACAAAGAGAAAAAGTCAAAATATACTTTATGCCCTCCATCTATCTCATGCTAGACAAATGCCTGTATTGTTAAGAATGCGTGAAAACCAGATCCCATTTGGTCCTGCAGCTTTGTTAATTTTTACTTCCTTAAAACACTACAAGACATTGTTTGATGAATATTGTCATTTATTGACGAAATTAAACACTAATTACAATTAAACTACCTTAACATCTAGGGAGATCCCAGACAAACGTACAGAGACTTATTGAGCACCTAATATCACAATGGCAGCGGGATCTCCCTAAAGTCTAAGCAAGACATGATTATCATTGCTGAGTGTACAGTTAGAAGATAAGAGATCACCTGGTAACATATATACAACAATGGCAGGGGGATCTCCCTGTAATATGAAAAATTAAAAAAAATGTAAAAATTAAGGTTAATGTAAACCAATTTATCATTTTCATAACAATTTCTTTAAAATTCTGTCAGCAATGAGACCATTATAGCAAAAAATGAAATGAAATATATTGGACACATGTAACGAACAGTAATCGATCAAACAAGTTTATCAAACAAAGCAAATGAGGAGCAGAGCAAACATTGACCTCTCAAACATCAGAATTGGAATCAGCTTCTATGAAGGGCTGAGTATCCCTTGTCGGCGTCGGTCATATCAAACATGAAAGATCAATTTTCATTGAAAAAAACAATCAGTGTTTGCAATTCGTGGTCAAGTAAAAACATGCTTCAGATAAACTTATTCGATGTTCCTTCAATTAAGCTAAAGTAGGGTTTTTATACCCGCACTTTCTAAAGAAAGTTCGGGTATATTGTTGTTACTCATATCTGTCCGTCCGTCCGTCTGTCACACTTTTCTTCCCTGAACTCCTCTTACATTTTACACAGTAGCCTAATCATCTTTTGGGAGATGGTTGGTGGTGTCATGTAGATGTGCAGTAAGGTTTCGGAATTTTGATTTTGCCCCGGGGGGTCAAATGAGGGTCGAAAAATGACGTTTTTTATGCAAAAAGCCCCGTCTTCCCTAAACTCCTCTAACATTTTACACAGTAGCCTAATCATCTTTTGGGAGACGGTTGGTGGTGTCATGTAGATGTGCAGTAAGGTTTCGGAATTTTGATTTTGTCCCGGGGGGTCAAATGGGGGTCGAAAAATGATGTTTTTTATGCAAAAAGCCGCGTCTTCCCTAAACTCCTCTTACATTTTACACAGTAGCCTAATCATCTTTTGGGAGATGGTTGGTGGTGTCATGCAGATGTACAGTAAGGTTTTGGAATTTTGATTTTGCCCTGGGGGGTCAAATTGGGGTCGAAAAATGACGTTTTTTATGCAAAAAGCCCCGTCTTCCCTGAACTCCTCTTACATTTTACACAGTAGGCTAATCATCATTTGGGAGACGGTTGGTGGTGTCATGTAGATGTGCAGTAAGGTTTCGGAATTTTGATTTTGCCCCGGGGGGTCAAATGGGGGTCGAAAAATGACATTTTTTATGCAAAAAGCCCCGTCTTCCCTAAACTCCTCTTACATTTTACACAGTAGGCTAATCATCTTTTGGGAGATGGTTGGTGGTTTCCTGTAGATGTGCAGTAAGGTTTCGGAATTTTGATTTTGTCCCGGGGGGTCAAATGGGGGTCGAAAAATGACATTTTTTATGCAAAAAGCCCCGTCTTCCCTGAACTCCTCTTACATTTTACATAGTAGGCTAATCATCTTTTGGGAGATGGTTGGTGGTGTCATGTAGATGTGCAGTAAGGTTTCGGAATTTTGATTTTGCCCCGGGGGATCAAATGGGGGTCGAAAAATGATGTTTTTTTATGCAAAAAGCCCGGTCTTCCCTGAACTCCTCTTACATTTTACACAGTAGCCTAATCATCTTTTTGGAGATGGTTGGTGGTGTCATGTAGATGTGCAGTAAGGTTTCGGAATTTTGATTTTGCCCCGGGGGGGTCAAAAGGGGGTCGAAAAATGACGTTTTTTATGCAAAAAGCCCCGTCTTCCCTGAACTCCTCTTACATTTTACACAGTAGCCTAATCATCTTTTGGGAGATGGTTGGTGGTGTCATGTAGATGTACAGTAAGGTTTTGGAATGTTGATTTTGTCCCCGGGGGGAGTAATGGTGTCGAAAAATGATATTTTAAAAAGTGAGGTCAAGGTCAAAGGAAAATTCAAGGTCAAAATAAGTTGACGTATTAATAGCTCTTAGCAGTATGTATCAGCATATGAAGTTTGATAAATATATCTTGAATTGTTTATTCAAAACTGGTCTAGACATTAATTTTAGAAAAGTGAGGTCAAGGTCACAGGAAAGGTCAAGGTAAAAAAGAGTGAAGCATCGTCAAGCTTACATCAGTATGTATCATCATGTGAAGTTTCATTACACAACTTGAATGGTTTCTTTAAAATAAAGTTAAACACTAATGGAGACACCACCATTTGAAAAATAATGAGAACAAGTTAGATTTGAGGTCAACATTCATTTTAGGAGTTTTCAACCATTAAGACGTAAAGAAATATTAACTCGATCCTTCCCCTCACCCCTTCCCAG